GTAAAATGATGTCCCATATATAAAATGGCAAAATCAAGGTTTGCTTTTTGAAATTTTTATTCTTTAACAATAGTCTCAAGCCTGGATGACTGAATCCATGTATAAAGTATGCGTGGATACAGAGGGCCGATTGTATTTATCGGAACAACAAAAAGACTGTATTATCATCCAATATATACCAGGTTGTCAGGAAAAGTTGATAATGTCTTTCAGAAGGACCAGGGACATGTCAGATTGAAGTGAAGGTACATAAATTAATATCACACAGCACTTTTCTGGGCATCATCAAAAGTCTCCATCCATGTCAACTACAGGTACACTTCTACAATGTTAGAAATCAGGAAAGATAAGTCTTGCAGTATTTTACTTCTTGGAACAATACTTTTTTCAGTAATGCAAATATACACAGACAAAACGATTAGATCTTCAGAAAACATCACAAGGAAAATCTTTGTATTATGATGGAACAGAGGTCTCCCTCTACTCTGCATAGTGAATACCTTATTTTCCTGCGTATAAGACTACTTTTTAACCTGCAAAATCTGTGGCTAAAGTGGGGGGGGTCATCTTATACGTCGGAAAATACGGTAATTTCCTGCAATTAAATCACTCTCTTAAAACTCAGGCTTTGGATACTGAAAAAGATAAATCAGGTAGTCCCTCTGGAAAAAAAAACCCAAGAGCATGAATTTTACAATTAAAATCCTTGGCCCATTAAAGGTTAAGCACAGAGGCTAAATTCCTTCTCATTCTCTAAAAACATCTAGGATTTTCTATTCCTTTTCCTAACCTGCTCCCTTCTACAGAGTCCTCAAACCTTCAGTCGGTTTTAACATCTGGTCTTTAAAATTCCAGCCTCCCATTCTTACAGCATGATCCGACACTTAATGTTCATTATATTGTTGTTGTTCTGTGCCTTCAAGTCATTTCCGACTCTAAGGCAACCATCATGGGGATTTCTTGGCAAGATTTGTTCAGAGGAGGATTGCCATTACCTTCCCCTGAGGCTGAGAGAGTGTGACTTGCCCAAGATCACCCAGTGGGTTTTGTGGCTGACCTGGGAATTGAACCCTGGTCGCCAGAGTCATAGTCCAACACTCAAACCACTATGTCATATTGGCTCGACATTATAGGTGATTTAAAGACAAACAGCACTTCTGACACATCCCAGAAAGATGCCATTAATGTCTATTTATGTCTATTTATTTGCTACTATGTTTATTCGTGATTAATGAACAGAACTAGGTAAATACATTCGCAAAACATTCCAGTTTCTGCCTTTCTCATGCTCAAAGTAAAAGTGAGATGTGCCCAAGGTGGCTAGAATACACTATTGTCCATTGTTAAGGGGAGGATGGTTTCAGTATTATCCTCAAGGGGCGCACCCGCATTGCAGAAATAATCCATCTTGACACCACTTTAACTGCCACGGCTCAATGCTGTGGAATTCTGGGAACTGCAGTTTGTTGCGGCACTAAAGCAATGCAGTTAAAAGTGGTGTCAAACTAGATTATTTCTGCAGTGCAGATGCAGCCAAGGTTGAGATCATGCAATGTTAAAAGTTGAAAGTCTGTGGATCCAAAGTACTTGGCATCTGAGGAAGTAGGCTGAAGTCTAGGAAAGCTCCTGCTGCCAACTTCTTTCTTTCAGTGAGTCTCAAAGGGGCTACAAGATCTCTCTACAGACTGATTCTACAGACTAACACGGCTATATCTTTGAATTCATCCAAAGTACTTGAAAGAGATGGCACCCAGTTCAGAACAGAGTCTGGTTTGTTCTGAGTTTTGACCTTCTCCACTACCATTCCCTTCTCCTCCTTTTGTGTCTTATCTTTTTAGACTGTAAACCTGAGGACAGAGAACTGTGGATTTAGCAATCTGTAAGCTGCTCTGAGAGCCTTTGTGGCTGAAGAACGGGGGGGTATAAATACAAAAAATAAAATAAATGTCTACCCATGGGTCACCCAAGCTTCCTGATCAGGACTACAGACTTGTTTCCTGAAATATGTACACAGGGCTATGATTGTTTTCCTAACATATTCCAGGCGGTAGCTGTGTATGTATGTGTATATTTATGATATTTTTATATTCCTTGTATAGCCACTCCTTGAAGAAAGCCTTACAGTTTCTCACATGCTACTGAATATGGTTCTATTTGGGCAGCCTGACACCTACACTGTAGAAATAATGTGGTTTGACACCACTTTTAAGTGCTATAGCTCCATCCTATAGAAACCTGGGATCTGTAATTTTACAAGGTCGTTAGCTTTCTCTGCCAGAGCGCTGGTGTCTCACAAAACTACAACTCCCAGGATTCTGTGGGATGGAGCCATGGCAAAGTTGCATCAAACTAACATCTCTGCAGAAAAAGCCTTCTGTGAAATCTATTGTTGTAGATCAGGGGTAGGCAACCTAAGGCCCGGGGGCCGGATGTGACCCCCCCAAGGCCTTTAGATGGGCCCCAGGCTGATCCTGCTGCCGCCCGCCATGATGATATTGATTATTGTTGTTATTACTTGTTCTTGAGGTTTTCTTGGCAAAAACTCCACAGGGGTTTGCCATGGGTTTTCTGGGGCTGAGAGAGTGTGCATGCATATTTTTTTAAAAAATTAATTTTTACATTTATTTATTTATTTATGGTGCTTCGGCCCCCCAATTGTCTGAGGGACAGCAACCTGGCCCCTGGCTCAAAAAGGTTGCCTACCCCTGTTGTAGATCTTTAGTGACCAGCCACCAATATCACATTCTTGAGCAAGGTCCTGGAGCATGTGGTGGCCTCTCACCTCCTGAAAGGGTTGGAAATAAACCAGATTTAAAAAAACCAAAAACAAATCTAAAACCTGGTGATTTCGTTTTGTTTAAACTATTTGGGACGGGGGATTAAACCAGGATTTGCATGAATCTGTACGACTAAACTGGAAACTCAAGTAGCAAAATGCAATTCAGATGTTATATGGCCAAAGAGCATCAGGAGTGTGGTGGAGTTCTCCTTCCTTGGAGATCTTTAAGCAGAGGCTGGATGGCCATCTGTCGGTGATGCTTTGATTGGGAGTTCCTGCATGGCAGAAAGGGGTTGGCCTGGATGGCCCTTGTGGTCTCTTCCAACTCTATGATTCTATGATTCCCCCAACACCATCTTCTGAGCTTCTAGATACAGTGGTCTCTCCACATTCGCTAGGGTTAGGGGCATAGGACCCCTGTGAACGTGGAAAAACCACAAATAACAAAAACACTATGTTTTTACTTGAGAGAACACCTCTCTAGGTCCTCCAGTGCAACTCTGTGGTCAATACCTGCCAGAGCCAGAGGTAGGCAACCTTTCCCCTTTAAGGGCCAAGGGACTTCAGCTCCCAGAATCCCAGGAGCTATTGGCCAATATGGGACTATTGGCCAACATGGCTGAGGCTTCTGGGAGCTGAAGTCCCTCGGCCCTTAAAGGGGAAAGGTTGCCTACCCCTGTGCCAGACATTGACCAGAACAACAAATGGTACAAAAGGGTTCTCTCTAGGTCAGGGGTAGGCAACCTTTCCCCTTTAAGGGCCAAGGGACTTCAACTCCCAGAAGCCTCAGCCATGTTGGCCAATAGCTCCTGGGATTCTGGGAGCTGAAGTCCCTCGGACCTTAAAGGGGAAAGGTTGCCTACCCCTCCTCTAGGTCCTTCAGTGCAACTTTTGGTTAAAGTTGACCATAGAGTTGCACTGGAGGACCTAGATATTCCTAGAGAGAACATACTAATACGATCTGTGAATAAACAAATCCGCAAAAGCCAAACCCACAAATGTGGAGGGACAACTGTATATCGGTTCTCACACGTTTCTCCCTTGTGTTATTGAGCTTATTGACGAGTGAAGCTTATCTTCTGACTGAAGCTTTCCTCACCCACCAAGCATTTGAATGAGGTTTCTCCTGGTTTTCTACATAGTCAAGTTTTCCCCCCACACTTCAAACATTTAAATGGCCTTCTTCTCCATGTGAGGTTTGATGCCGAGAGAGCTTTCTCTTCTGACCGAAATTCTTTCCACACTCCAAGCATTGAAATGGGTTTTCCCCGGTGTGAGTTTCCTGATGGCACATGAGGTTTTTCTTCCAACTGAAACTCTTCCCACATTCCAAACATTTAAAGGTTTTCTTGCATGAGTTGGCGGCTTGATGACGAAGGAGATGTGTCTTCCATCGGAAGATCTGCCCACACTCCAAGCATTTAAAGCAGTTCTCCCCGGTGTGAATGAGTCGATGTAACCTGAGGTATCCCTTTCGGGTGAAACGTTTCCCACAGTCCAAGCATTTAAATGGTCTTTCTCCGGTGTGGGCTCCTTGGTGATTCGTGAGTTGTGCCTTGCGAGTGAAACTTTTCCCACACTCCAAGCATTTGAATGGATTTTCTCCTGTGTGCGTAACTCGATGAGACTCTAGATCTCCCTTGGTATCAAAACTTTCTCCACACTCTAAACATTTGAATGTGTTGTCCTGTATGTGGATTTTCTGATGACGTTTGAGGCTTGACTTCCATCTGAAGCTTACCCCACATTCTATACATTTAAATGGTTTCTCCTTTCTGTGGGTTTCTTGATGAGAAGTGAATTGGGTCTTCTGATTGAAACTTTTCCCACACTCCAGGCATTTAAAAGGCTTCTCTTCCATAGGAATTGCTTGGTGATGGGTGAAGCTTAACTTCTGGCTGAAAGATTGCAAGCGAGCGGCTTGATAGCGAGTGTAACTTATATTCTGACTGAAGCTTTTTCCACACTCCAAGCACGTCGTTTCTCTCCTATATATAATCTTTTTCTCTCCTGTGTGAATTTTTTGATGGGAAATCACACATTTCCTAAAACAGAAGGTGCACCCGTCAGTTTTGAAACCTTGCTTTTCTGGATGAGTTGTGTTTGGATCACAGAGGCTTGAATTACAACTAAGTTTTTCCCCACATGCCAGAGCACGACATTCACTTTTTTCTTTTCCCTTTTCTGTTGGGGCCTGGATTGAGATTTCACACGAATGACCACTTTCAAAAGTCTGGACTTTGTTTGTCCTGTTCTCTTTAGTGTCCGTTTCTCTCGTCTGTCCTTTCTGTTTAAATGTGTCTCTTTGTAGCAATATCATTTGGGGGTCTCCTTCCTTTTCAGTCTCTTGCCCATCACCATCTATAATGGAGAAAAATAAACGGTCAGAGAAAAATGGAAAGTGCAGTCAAAGAGTTAACAGGACTCATCAAATGTCACTGATTTGCATCCATTTCAGCTACTACTGGGAGAAATCGGACTCAAGAGTCTTTCCATTGGCTTTCCTGAGAGACCAGATCCACAAAGATCCTCCTTCACCTCTTTTCATAAAAACTGGCTGCTTTAAGGTTTTTGTAACTTCATGAATGGATCTGATGGCTAATCTGTGTGTGTCCCCCCCCCCCCCCTTTAACCAAACTATTATTTTCTTCTTTTCAGATTTCAAAGAAACAGCTGTGTTACTCTGGGCCTTTGCAGACTGCCAGAAACAGTGCAAA